AGGGAAGTATAAAAGAAAGCGTAAAACTCGACAACGTATTAGTTCTTCGAAAGCCAAAAAGCTACGTCGACGAGATATTTTTGACTAACCTAAACAACATATTTAAAAAAAAAAAAAAAAAAAAACGGAAATGGCTTTTATGTTAAAAGATTCTCCCGAATGTACTAAATCAGAATTAGAACTTTTTCACATACCTGGAATGTCTCAGTTTTAGAGAGGAATTTATTTCTGCAACAAAGATCGATCCCTTTCAGTACACTACAATAGCTTCAGCTTGTATGGCTACTTACAGATCACAATATATACCTCCACAGACAATTGGACTGGTGCCAGTTCATGGTTATGTAAATCGTACAAATCACAGCATATCAGGAATTCAGTGGATAGATTTTATTGCTTTAAAGGAAAAAATTCAGATCAGACATGCTCGAAATGGTTTTGGCGAGCAAAAGATTGCAAACATTTCTGTGGACGGCTTCTGTGAAACCAATAATACTGTCTATCAGTTTTACGGTAAATATCTTTAAAATGCTTTTCATTTTTTCAGTTATTTTCTAATTTTTAAGATACCTCGATTTAGACTGTAAAAAACTGATTTTATTTTAAGGATGTTATTGGCATGGATGTAAAAGCTGTTATCCTCAGCAAGATGCCAGAAATGCTGTAAAGGGGTGTTTCATGTGGGAACTTTCTGTCAGCACAAAGAGAACATCGAAAATCATTCAACGCATGGGATATAACTTGGTAACCATTTGGGAGCATGAATTTAATACCATGAAGAAAAATGATGAGGAGCTGAGGAATTTTTTGAAAGATCATAGTTTAGTAGAGAGGTTAAATCCAAGAGACTCATTTTTCGGAGGGAGAACGAATGCTGTAAAGCTAATGCACGAAGGAAAAATTAAGTACATAGACTTCACAAGTTTATATCCGTGGGTTAACAAGTGTTGCAGGTATCTGTTTTCTTCCTTTAATTGTTAGAGCGATTCATGTAATTAAAACATTCATTTATTATAAAAGATGTGATTATGAATGCATGTATATATATATATGTACATAGTGTATTTATTAATCCTCAGGTATCCAATTAAACATCCTGATATCATAACGGAAAATTTTCAAGATGTATCAGAATATTTTGGTATAGTAAAATGCACAGTACAGCCTCCCAAAAAATTATATTTTCCTGTTTTACCTTATCGGTATGTATTGATCATTATCCTGCCTTTAATCAGAATTTCAAAACTGTGTCCTTGTACGTGTGTTATAACAAATTTACGTTTTTTTAAATTTAATTTACCTCTTTTATAGTGCCCGAAATAAACTGATGTTTCCGCTTTGTAAGTCTTGTGCAGAATCTTTGCAGCAAGAAAAGTGCATGCATACAGATGAAGAAAGAATGCTGACAGGAACATGGGTTTCCCTTGAAGTTCAGAAAGCCGTGGAAAAGGGATATAAAATTATTAAAATACATGAGGTGTGTATATGGGGGTTTTGTTTTGCTGACTTGTTGAGAGAATGATTTTTGACTGGGTTGTTTACAATTTTTTTTTTTTTTTTTTTTTTTTTACTAACAGGTTTATCATTTTAAAGAGAGTATGACTGGATTATTTGCTCCGTATATTGACAGTTTTATGAAATTAAAACAAGAGTCAAGTGGTTGGCCAAAAGACTGTATAACTTCTGATGCTAAAAAGAGATATATTTCTCAATACTTGGAACATGAAGGTATTTTGCTGGATGAAAATTCTATAAGCTATAATCCAGGGCGACGACAAGTAGCAAAACTTTGTTTAAACAGGTAAAGCAAAAAAAAGTACAAAGAATTTTTGTTGTTGTTCCTGTTGCTACATAAACTAGATGTTTATAAAATGTTTTTTAAAATTTTAACAATTTATTTTAAGCTTCTGGGGAAGATGGGGTATGATGGAAAATAAAACTCAAATACGTTACGTGACAGATCTGGCAGATTTTAACAAACTCTTAACGGATAGTACTATAGAGGTAAATTTTTTATTGAATTATATTATACTTTTAGTTTTTGAAAATGCATGATATTAAAAGGATAAAATATACTATTCAATCTATGTTTTAGGTTAAGGATGTATATTTACCGACGGAAAAAGTGGCAGCAGTTCAGTATGCTTACAAATCTGAATTTGCTCCTCAGACGGATAAAACAAATATATTTATAGCTACATTGACTACAGCCCATGCACGTTTGAAGCTTTACTCAGAATTAGAAAAATTAGACAAAAATGTCTTGTACTTCGATACAGACAGGTATAATATTAGAGTTAAAATCCCTATTTCCTGTATTATTATTATTATTATTGTTATGCAAATATTTGTTTATATAGGATAAAAAAACGCTTATACTTTTTTTTATATTCCTTTCAGTATTATTTATGAATCCAATGGCAAGAATGACCCACCTTTAGGTCCTTATTTGGGAGATTTTACTGATGAATTAGACGGCAAATATATAACGTCTTTCATTTCTGGTTAGTATAAGTTCACTCTGGTTAAAGCTAAATTATCAATGTATACATTCGAGAAAATTGTAATGCATGCAACATTATTTTATTCACGGCTCTTACGGTTTTTCAGGTGGTGCAAAAAAAATTATGCTTATACATCTTCAGATGGTTTAACACAGCTTGTAAAATTAGAGGATTTACTTTAAACTACAAAGCTTCAAGCAAATTGAATTACGAAGCGATGAAGGCTTTAATTTTGAACAAAGACTTCGATACATCCATCAAAGTTGAAACGACAAATAAAATATGCCGAAATGCTAAGACAAGGAAGGTCTATAACAAGAAAGAAGAAAAAAAATATCGTTTAGTATACGATAAAAGGGTGATATTACCAGATTTTACGACGCTACCGTTCGGCTACTGATGATTCTATCCAGTGAAGCATTCAAAAGTTAAATTTTATCGATGATGATATTTTACATTTACTTTGGGTAATGTAGTATTCTGAGATAAAATATAAATATATATAAAGTATTTTACAGGTAAGGAAAATTCGACAACTTATAGTTAAATGAACATTTTTATTTAGTACTTTATCCATGGCTGTTTTCTTGCGTACATGCTTTGTTTGATTCTAGAAACAATTAAGGATTTCTTTTCTCTTAACAATTTTTCGTTATGCCCGAATGCATCAGGCATTTCCTTCAAAACAGATCGAAATAAATTTCGTCCTATAGGCCCTTTTTTCCTATTCCGCAATAAATCGTTAATTAAATGAACAATATTGGATCTAGGAATTGTTTCCCCTTTATACAGAATTTCACCTTTAGAAGTCCACGACAAAATATTTTGTTTATTTTTTAAAAAGGAGTAAATGTCCTTGGCTATATGCTTCTTTTTCACTGGAACAACAGCTAGGATATTCTTTTCGATGACGTCTTCTTCTTTTTCTTTCTCTGCTTCGGTTTCAGGCTTAACAGAATTATCTGCTTCAATCATGTTTTCTGACTCTGGCATTGCCTTCACAGAAACATCTTTCTCCGGGTGAGGAACATGAACAAATTTTTGAAGTGCTTGTGAATATAACATTGCTTTATCACTTTCGTTCAAATTCTTATTTCTTAATATAGAGTACATTTGTTTATCTATTTCTGATAAATACTCTTCTGTCATGTTTTCTAACCGATCTTCCGGTATAAGGCGATATTTTTTACTGTACTCCATTAATAATAGAACTGATCACAGATATAGCTGCAGGTAAGAGAAAACTCAGAAAACCATCACCTCGTTGAACGAGCAATTCTCGTTTTTTGTACAAAGGTATTTTACGGTTCGCTAACTTACGTATACTTCTCTTAAAAGGAGTGAGTTTATTTTTCAGAGTTTTAGATACTGGTATATTACCCCGAATTAAATTGAGTGCACACTCACACAAAGATTTGATGATACTATTTGGAACTTTTTGAAGTAGAAATCTTTTTGATTTACTCTTTGCTAATGTTTTCAGTTGCTTTATTAAATGCTGCTCGCATTCTGACATTTTTAGTATTCAATGAAGCTACGAAATGAATTCTGTAGTATTTATAGGATTCCAAATCCAATATTTTATCCTTTACTTCTTTTCATATAAACGTGGAATAATAAGCGGATTTTTCATTTTATAATAAAGTAAGAAAAAAAGATAATGCATTCTAAAATTTGAGTTTTGTATCAGATTTCCGCTAAGCGTTTTCTTATCGCGGTAAATACACGTAATGTTTGTCTTCCGGAAATATTCCTGTTCGTAAACGTAAACTCTCTTCTGTGTCAGGTTTCAAATCAATCAACAGATAGCTGTAAGGTTTAAAAGTTGCATCCTGAAACACTTCTTGAAAAAATTTATTTCTTGTTGGGTAAAGTTGTCTACCCAAGTGCATGATCTGAGACTTATCTCGCGGATTTTTAAATAAGACCATATAATGGCAATTAAGAGAAATTTCTCTCATTTCTTTACCTTTGTGAAATAAGTTTTGAACGATGAAAATGATGCTTAAATTTTTATGGTGGCTTCCTTTGGTAAATAGTTTTGTTAATTTTGATTCATTGCCCAGTTCGGACATTAAATCATCGATCACGATTAAAGCATTTGTAATGTTATTCATATGAGAAGGAAATCCTTCGTGAAACTGTACGTCGCGCATTTGGGTATACAATGGCTGATATGCTCCGTAGCACCACACTGTTTTAGTAGGAACAGGATCTATGCTTTTATGTTCAATCATTTTTTTAACAAATATTGTTTTTCCTGAAGATGTAGGACCTGCCACTATCATTGTAAAAGGATGTTTTAACTTAGGAAACTCCATCGTAAGTGAACTTTTCTGTATTTAAGTTAAATATTTATAGTTCTTCCGTACCCCCCCCCTCCCTCCCTCAAAAATTACATAGTTTAAAAAAATGACCTAGATTAAAAAAAGAAGCATAATAAATTATTATTATTTGTTAATAACAAAATGAGTGGAAAAAAATGCACACACAGTATTTCCAAATCAAAATCTAACCTTTATTTTTTAAATGTCATTCTAAGACCATATTTCTTTTTAACAAATTGGTATATTCTAAAATCATTGCTTTTACACAAAGAAAGATTATATAAAATATCATACATAGATTTGCCCTGGCATCTTTTTAATAAAAAATAAATGCAGTATTGTCCACATACATTAGATGTTAAACTTTGAAATCGAATTTTATTATAATGAGTTACACGAAAATGTGACACAAAATTCTCGATGTTTTTTCCATAAAACTCCGGAGGCTCTCCGTAAGAATCGAAAAATTCCAAGGCTTTATCTTCTATAAACAGGGCAAGCCAATGCGTTCCATTTTCTGTAGAGGGTGATACATTTATTACCATAGCAGATCGTTTTCCAGGCATAGGTATCATGTCAGAAGGAAATACTCCTTGGAAGTACGGAGCAGTGTCCATGTCTTGAGACAATATGTGATGAAGCTGAAGGGCGTACATCTTAATTTGCAAAGTCGTAAATAACAGTTCTGGATTTATTAATCTCGATTATATTTTCAAACTCGCTGTACACTATAACAGATATTGTTTGTGATAGTGGTGCTCTAAATTTCATTTCTAGACGTAAATTGCTGTGTTTTATTAGATTCATGTGCTCTCCATCACATAAGTCAGGCGACAAATCAAAGGCATATAATGTATAACCTAAGGGATAATCGTCTCTCGATATAAAAATACCATGATGATCTTGACTCACTTTCTCTCTTCCGAGAAATAAGCTTTGGTAAGCTCGAATATAATTATTTTCATCAAAATTCGGCTCGAGAGGATTGTAAGGCACAGGCTGACCGTCCACATAGGCTCCGATAAAATTTAAGTGATAATGATTAAACTTCGAAAGGTGATTTCTTATAAGTTCCGTGAAAAGCATCATTATCTACGCATCCAACAATCACCCGTTTTGGCATCTGCCCGACGAAGACGTTATCTTGTACGATAGACATGCTGCCTTGCGGTACAGAATATACTTTGCACAACACTCTGTTAATGGGGTATTTTGCTGTCGCTTTTTCTAAAGCTTTGGCATGTCCGAGAGTAATACCTGGACTGACGCGAACTTTTCGAACGAAAAGGGAAACATGATCCAATACCACTTTGTGTCCTTCGTTACCATGTAAACAAAATTCGGGTTTACTCCGTATAAGTTTTAGTTTCAAATCTACAAGGTTCAACATTAGTCTATCTTGATGAAACAAATCGCAGTGAATGCCCCCTATCATATCTATTGTATTACTTAATTTAAAAAATTCGGAACGCTTAATCCAACCTTCGTTATCTGTAAATATTTTACTAAATGTATCTTTGTAGAACATTTCGCATGTAAGTTGCGAAGTTTTACTGTCAAACCCATGATTTAATAGAGTTTCTATATAAGCTCTATATGGATACGTATTGCTCGAAGAAGAGATTAATCGATCGTTTAGAGTGACGTCCACTTGAGAAAACAGCGAGTGAAGGAAAAGATTGACGGGACCAATCTTTGAATCTGCTACTGTAGGTTTTCCATCCGTTTTTATTATTTTAGCTTTTACATAAAGAAGTGTTTGGGACAAGTCCATATACTCCTCTCCACTACCGGAAACAAGGAATTCAACAGGTCCTCCATCAAATACATTCGAAAGTGGATGAAACTGAATCCATTGCCCATTTTGAATGACAGTCTGAGTTCCAGGTATGTGAAAAAGTTCTAATTCTGATTTAGTACATTCGGGAGAATCTTTTAACATAAAAGCCATTTCCGTTTTTTTTTTTTTTTTTTTTTTTTTTTTTTTTTTTAAATATGTTGTTTAGGTTAGTCAAAAATATCTCGTCGACGTAGCTTTTTGGCTTTCGAAGAACTAATACGTTGTCGAGTTTTACGCTTTCTTTTATACTTCCCTCTACCTAACATCGATTCTGCTTTCTTAACAGCTTTTCCAGCCAATAATTTTCCAGCTTCTCTTGATCTTTGTTGCGCGGCCATCTTTAAATTTTTTCCCTCCATGACATCAGAAGCTATACGTGTCCCTGTCAGCAAGGCTTCTTTTCCTACGGTTTTTGCCCCTTTCCAGAGAACAGGTAATGCCATTCGAAATATTTTCTTAAAAAATCCACCGATACCATAGCCTCTTTGATAAGCTATCTGTCCGCGATAAAATGGAAGGCCAGATCCTAACTGGCCGACATAATGATCTTCAAACTTTTTTGTACAACACACATAAGGAACACGGCTCATACTGTATGTAACGTGTCAAATTTTCAAATGATGTGTTTCATGAAATGTATTATCCCTTTTATAGGATATGCCGCAATCGAAAATGCAGAATAATGATCACTTTTCCTCTTTCGAATGGAACAAATTCCCCAGAGTTTAATTTAATCTTATTTCCATTTCAATCGTTTGAAAATGATTTCGAATAACAGGAACATAGTGTGGTCTGTCATAATGAGTACTACTGATGACTTCTCCATCTTTTCCATTTATTTTTACAATACGCAATAAGGGAGCTTGAATGTTTCCCACTATTTGTGGTTCTACGATATCTGTATAGATATAAAAAAATGGGAAGGAAGCACGTGGATCAGCGACGAAGGAACTTTCAGCTAGCTATATCTTCTATTACTTGCGGTTCAAATCCTAACAGATTGCAAAGACCTTTCTCAAAAATTAGTTTTGCTCCTTTCTCGGTTTTCTCCTTTCTCGGTTTTAATATTCACACACGCTTTGTCACAGGACTGTATTTAAATGTAATTTTGTTTCTTAAAGGTGGAATATTCATTTCATTTCGTTCAAAATATCTTGTACACTTTCATAATATCCAGGTGGTAACCTTCTTCCCTGGAGTTCTCCATCTTTTAAAGCAAACCCGAACAGATTATTTTCTTTATTTATATTATACCATTCGTGCGGATAAATTATTTCGGTTAATCCAACTTCCCATAGACCGTTTAATGTAATTGGTATAGGTAGCTGTGTCACAAAATGCGAAAGTGTATTTTCTGAGAAATGTTCTTGACTACTATCAGAGGGCAGCGTCACGTAGAACGACATCTCTAACTGATGAAATTCAGAACAGAATGTTCTCTTTTTATAACATTTTTACATCGGATACCCAAGCATTAAATTTATCCGGGTATCCCTGAAATTTGACAAAATACTGCATTTTTCCAGCCACTTTTTTTTGTTTTAATATTTTTTCTACCGGATAAAATCCCGAATCAGATACTTTTTGTAGTTCATTTTCATAAAAACTACCTTCAATCACTTCTCCAGCTAAATCTCTTAATTTATAAACTACAGGTTTTCGGGGGATCATTCGATGAATTGTAAATATTTCTCGAGTCCAATTATTTTCGTAACCCTTCTCAAAAGGTCTTTTCAGCTTACTAATACGCACCGTATCGCCTGTTTTAAACTGGGGCTTCGTAACAGATTTTATCATATCACCATATAAATTCTTCCATACCACAGACTGATTATTTATATTCACTGATGAAGGTTCCATTTGAATACTGCGATGCCAAGTGTGATTGTAACTATAGATTAATTTATTCAACACATCTATATAGCAATGTGTGTTAAACTCTGTAAAATATTTCCACATTTTTGTCTTTAGAGTCCTATTAAATCTTTCAATAATGCTCGCTTTTGTTTCGTTATTTGTTGTAAAATAATGAATGCCCTTTTCTTTAAATAAATTTTGCACTAATTTATTTTTAAATTCCGAGCCTTTATCTGTTTGTAATGAATCTGGTTTACGCTCTTTAAAAATGTTTTCAAATGCCCTTTTCACACTAGAGCCCTTCTTGTCTTTCAAAGGTATAGCCCAAGCATATTTCGAAAAAATATCTATGCATGTTAACAAATATTTATACCCTCTATTAAATCTGGCTAAATTTTGTAAATCTACTAAATCAGATTGAAATTGTTCGTCGATCCCCCCTACAATGACTCGGTTGCGTTGGAACTTGTGTCGCAGAGGCTTGTGAAGCGTATAAGAATCCCTCTTCTCTAACCATCTTTTGATCTCTTTGCTCTTTACTCCAGAAACACGACGTAAAGCATTGATACCACCGAAGCTTGCCGGTTGCGCTGGATTCCGATAAGTCAGATCCAGAATTTCTGACATTACAACATGAATTTTTATCAACGGAAAATGTGATGTTCATCCTCATACAACCGCTATCCAAATAAATGATAAATCAAATTTAAATTTATTTATACTTTTTATAAGCCCCTTACCTAATCCTCATAACAACCTGTTCAAACATTAGTTTTATAGTTTCATCTAAGTTAGAAAATTATTATTATTATCATTTCATTTCTTAAAATATAAAAAATAAGAGACTAAATATTTCAATTGTAAACTCTTTTATATGCACAAAAAATTTATTTACAAACATTCACAAAATAACTTGATAGGCGATTATTCACACGCATATATATATATATATATATATACATATACATTTACAATAAATTTTAAAAAAATGAACCAACTAACCTGAAACATATAAATCTTTAGCATTATTTAACAACATTTCATAATCAATATTTTTTAGAAATGACACTGTAATATAATTTGCAATATTCGAATTTTTACTCACAAATTCAGCAGCAATGTTCACAATATTTATTTTACACACAGCAAGATCTCCATATTTCCAAAGTTTATCCGAATTGGTCATTGTGACACACTCATGGCCAAGCTGATTGCCGTATTCCATAATGCACCCACTACACTCGAAAATGTCCGCTATGTTTGAACTTATAGTCTCTTTTAAGAGTTCGATAAGAGATGTCGAAAGACACATTTCTGCATCAACAGGAGCGATTTGGTTGTCCTGATGCGATGGCATTTGCTTGAAAACTTCGTTCAAAACGTAGAACTGGAAAGTAGGCCCAAACATTAATGTAACCACCTCCGTTGTTATTTGTTTTCTTATTCGTATGAGTTGCTCCCATTCACATTTTGTAAGAACACATACACTTGGCAAAAATTCACGAGTCAAATCTTTGCGCACAAAATATCTCTGAAACGAAACACACGGGGAATTTTCAACTGTCACTGTTGAAAGGAACAAAGAGTCTTGTATAACTGCACACTGACCTTCTCGCAAAGAGGGACTTAGTATATCCTTATATTCCACTTTGTCCGAAAAGGCTTGCCACAGGTAAGGAGAGAGAGTGATTCCGCTTTTCGTCGGTATAAACTCGTTGTTTTCGAAGCGCACATATTTTCTTAAGTGTACACGTATTACACGAGCGAAATCTGTTATCACAACAAAATTTTCACCACCAAGATAAAAATGATGAGCAGGTAAAGAATCCAACTTAAACGTCGTTATACTTGCATCGTTAGTCATATTACTTTGACTCGAAAATCTAACTCTCTTGTTCGAAGTTGTAGGTTTCTCTGTTGCAACAGCACGCTTCATTTTCAAAAAATCGCAAGACAATATTTCTTACAAACTACTTTCTTCGCAACAAACAAGAGGCAACTGAATTCTTTCCCAAGAAAAATGGCTCTGTTGCTTTCGATGTGACGTCAAAACAAAATGGCTGGCTTAGAACCAATAGGAAAAGCTTGTTATCTTATAACACACCTCCTTCGTGACGTATTCCATTATACGTCAGACAACATGAACAAACACGAGATACTTTCATCGTTGCCGCAAGAAAAAATAAAATTTTGATAAAAACATCGTTGCCACAAAATTAAAAAAAATTATCTCTGACAATATTTCTCACATATTTTAGAAACAAACACTTCTAATTTCACTTTTCCAACAACTCCACTCGATTTCAAGATGGCGGATTCAAAAATGAACACGTGGAACAATCGTCGTTGCCACAAAATCAAAACGAAACTTTCCCCCCAAATCCTCGTTGCCATCCAAAATACCTAAATCCTAAAAATCTCCATGCACTTCTACTTCCACTTTCAAAACAAACACTTTCACTTCGAAACAAAAAACAAATTAATGATGCGTGTAAACACAGCTTTGTGTCCAGTGTGATGTCGCTGCTATTTCCAGTGATTACTCAGTAACCACATTAAATAAATCCATAAAAATTTTCGATTTACTGTCGAAATATCCCGAAATTTCTAAACCTAACCTTTTTCCTACACAAATTAAACATGGTGTTACACATTTTATTTCGACTGTTGGTCAACCCGTTTATTCAAAGGCACGACAGCTCGATCCAAAACGCTTAGCTATAGCTAAAGAGGAATTTAAATTTATGCTTGACAATGGAATAATTCGTCCATCAAACTCCCAGTGGTCAAGCCCCTTGCACCTTGTTACGAAAAAGGATGGTTCATATCGTCCTTGCGGAGACTACCGACGATTGAATGCGCAGACGATACCTGATCGATACCCAATTCCTCGCATTGAAGATTTTCATCATATTTTAAGAGGTACAAATATTTTTTCTAAAATTGATTTATTCAAAGCTTATTTTCAAATTCCCATTGCAGAAGAAGACAAATGTAAAACGGCTATCATCACTCCTTTCGGTTTATACGAATTTAATGTAATGAGTTTCGGTTTAAAAAAATGCTCCTGCAACGTTCCAAAGATTTATTCACGAAGTCTTTAGAGGATTAGAATTCGTTTTTTTCCCTATTTAGACGATATACTCATTGCATCCAGTACCCATGAAGAACACGAAAATCACCTTAAATTAGTTTTCGAAAGATTACATACATTTGGGTTAAGAATTAATGTTTCAAAATCTGTCTTTGCTGTTCCCCAAATCGAGTTTCTAGGCTACCT